GCTTTACCTTTAGCCGCAGCTAACAGCAGTTAGCTTTACCTTTAGCCACAGTCAACAGCGGTTAGCTTTACCTTTAGCCGCAGTCAACAGCGGTTAGCTTTACCTTTAGCCACAGTCAACAGCGGTTAGCTTTACCTGTAAAAGTGACACTGGACTGTCGCCTCGGCAGGGTTGGTCTTCAGGATGGAGGTGTTGGTGATGGGTGTTGGGGAGTACGTCAGAGTGAATGTGTAGATTATGGACGTTTCTGTCATCTGAAACACAAAAAGATTTTAGACGTGTCAGGGAAGGCCACCATGAGGAGGAAGAGGCACAAACCGTTGTGGTGCTGCCGCAGCCGTGCAGCTCCGTCTGGAACAGCAGGACTCCGTCCACCGTGCCCATTGCCGAGCAGCCTCCCAATGTCAGATCACTGGGCCGGATCAACTGGCCATTACCTGGGAGCAAAAACACACAAACATAAAGACCATTTCCCGAGGCCTTTGTTTTCCTGTCAGTAATCCTCACAGCGAGCGGAAGTTCAGCTGCAGGACGAACAAAAAGCTTTTAAAGGCTCTGCTGTATAAATCAGCACAATGCATCTCAGAGCGAAGAAATCAGAGGAAACTTATTGATCCCCGAGTCTACAATCTACCGTTTGTGGTAATCACTGATTTAGCTTTACTGTTCCATTCAACCCCCACCCCTCACCCACCCACCACCTCTGCTCAGGCCTTTTATCAGACCATTTCTCAGACCCTACAGCTAAAAAGAACATTAGAGATGGGCCTGCTCTGGTGCCACTGCGGACAAAACTGATCACTTCAAACAGTTAATAGGCAGCCATTACCCAGGAAGTCCTGTTTGACCTCCACAAAGGCCTTTCCTTCGCCGCATTCCACCGACACGCTCCGAGCCGGCGCAGGAAGCTGCTGCTCCACCTGGAAGAACCGGCAGACAAGAGTCACACTCAACAAACAGGTGGACCAGGACCAGAGAAGGGAAAGAAAACTACCTTTGGTTCCTTGTTGGCAGGTTCAGATGTGGGCAGGTTCAGATTAGAACTGCGGACCAACAAGGCCTTCTCACTTTTGACTGTCTTCTTCTGCTCCAGCAGCTCTGAGGTGGGCTCCAAGGCGTTCGTCACCTGAAAAGTTTTTTCCTCAACAAGCAGCTTTTGTTTGTCTGGGTGGACTGGGCTTTGGAGCTGGTAGGTCTTGAGCCGGTAGGTGACAGGAGAGCGAGGCTTTTGCTCCGTCTGGTTTGCCTGCTGCGAGCCCTTGACCTCTGCTTCTGGTTTCGTTTCGTGGAGAGTTTCATTGGTGCCAAAGACGACCCGGTTCTGTGCAGCGGAGCCCAAATGTCCACCTGCCAGGAGAAGCACAAACCCTACCAAAACAGCCCCTCTGGACCCCATTGCAACGGTTCACACAAAAACCTGAGTTTTTGGTGATTTCAGAGAGAACTGCCGCCTTCCTCCCAAAAGCTAATAAAACTTTTCTCTGGCTCCGCCCACTCCTAACGACCTGATTGAATTCCAGCCTGGAGAGCTCAACATTTGAAGCTTCCCTTTCCACCAAAGAAACCCTTAAATTCTTTGATACACTCAACCAAAAATCTACTTTTGGTCACCGCCTGCCGCCAAATGCGAGAGGTGATCATGTTTTTACCCATGTCTCTGTGTTTGTTTGTCTGTAGCATTGACAAAACCTCTCCTGAACCGTTGAAACACTCAGAATGTTTTCAATGGAGTCAACTACATTTAAAATGGTTACCACTATCTATTCTACGTTTACCCAAAACAGATTGTGGACAACTTAATCTATGTAGAAGGTTTTGACAAAATGACTAATTAAAGACTCCAATCCAATATGATTATAAAACTCTGGTATGAAATCCAGCAGTGTCCATTTCTTTACTTGTTGTGATGTTAATGAGTAAAGACCTTGATGAACAGAAACAAACACGACTCCCCCCCCCCACAACAGAGCGTGGCTTTCACTACCGTCAGCCCAGGCTCTCAGGGAGTTCAGACCGGCTACGCAGTCCTGAATGTTAAGGCGACATGGACAACGGTCTGTTGAGTTCCTCAGGAGTCGCTCATAAAACTGAGGTTTGTTGTTGTCAACTGTGAGCCTTTACACATGTCACCAGCACACTGTGTGCAAGGAAGGCTGTGAGCTAGACCTGTACCAGCCGACTCATCAATCACACGTAATAAATGGAAACTGTTTTCTAATACATGGTTTAAATCTTTATCCGTGCACATCTTTTGTTTAAATAGCCCATTTCTCTGGTTCCCCAACTTCTTGAGGAGGACCTTGTTAGTACAGGTGACATCTGAGCCAGCGTGGCTTCATTTTTGTGTCTCTTGCTCATTGCTTGGAGGTTGGCACTGGGATGTGAACCCTGAACTGCTGGCCTTCCTGCACTGGAGTCGCATGCCTCATCCACTGCGCCAACGTCCAGCTGAGTGGCTGGAATAACATACAGGAACATCTGGAATAATATACAAGAACATCTGTGCTGAGTATGGACTGGAGGTCCCACAGTCAAAGTGGGAGACTCCACCAAGGGTGGTGGAGAATGGAAGGGCTAAGATACTGTGGGACTTCCAGATCCTGACCAACAAACAGGCTGATGGCTGACCAACCGGACATTGTGGTGGTCGATAAGCAAGAGAAGAAAGTGGTGGTAGATGTAGCAATCTCAAGAGACGTCAGGAAGAAGGAGCAGCTGGAGAAACACCAAGAGCTGAAAGAGGAAATAGAGAAGCTGTGGAGAGTCAAAGAGTCAAAAGTCCTAGTGGTCACTGGAGGACTTGGTGCTGTGATCCTAAAAACTGGAAGAGTGGCTCCAGCAGATCCCAGGAACTACCTCAGAGATCTTTATTCAGAAGAGTGCAGTTCTAGGAACAGCTGAGATACTGAACAGAACCCAGGCCTCTGGTAGAGGACCCAAATTTAAAGTGAAGTGGAACCACCCAAGAGTAATATGTATATGGATATTTATCACTAAAAGAAAGTATATCATGAACAAGTAGACACATTTTAATGAAACTGTCTAAAACAACTTATTGAATGCACATCTACAGGCAACCTGATTCAAAATGGCTGCCGACATCTGTAAAAATGGCTCAATGCACTTTATCTGAGCGCTAACACCTTTGCATGAGATTCAAGATTGGACCAAAACAGCTAAAACTCTGTCCCTTCTCGTCCAAATCTTGAGTGTTGCGGTTTAGGCAAGTGGCAGGTTATATAGTAATCCTTTATTTTCACAATAAAAGCTTGAACTCATAGAAGTGTACTGCTAATCAGAGGCTAGCTTACCTTTACAGGTAAGACATGCTCACCCACTGAAACCTGGATCTGAAAGACTTTCAGATTGAAAAATAAACTCTGTTGTGTTTTTAAATGGTAAAGTCATTCATAACCCTGCTTTGTGTTCAATAATAAAACATTTTTTCAAACAAGTTATGTCTTTCTTCTTAGGTGTATTAATTATTTGTGTTCTGGACATTTTCTAGTAAAATATATCACATATAGATACACAGTGCAAGAACTGCACTGTGTATCTATATTAGCATATTAAGGGAATTAGAAGTAGCTCAAATTTATATGTAACCATAACAACAAGGTGTTTTTTTTACAAATGGGAGCAGCTGATTAACATCTCAAAAGGTCAAATAATATCTCAACTACAGCCCCAAATCTCAAATGAGTTGAAAAGGAGGCGCCGTAGATGCATTCCCGTCTCCTTGCCGGCTGTGCTTGAGTGCCTGACCACTGGGATCCCGGAGCTGGCGTGAGGTGCGGCTCATGACGGGATCGTCCTCGGGCGCCTGCAGCTGGCTGTCCGCAGCGACGAGGGGCTCGGCAGGCTGCTGGGAGGAGTGGCCGTCGCTCTGGGAGGAGTTCTGTCCAGCATTAGGGCGGTCCTGCAGCCTGGGGGAACCGAGAGGCCAGCTGGGTGGATGGATCAGGTGGCATCTGCTGGCAGTTTCTTCGACTCCGCTGTGGAACAGACCTTTACAAGATATCCTTCCTGCCTACAGCCATCAGTACCTATAACATCTCTTAATGAAACGAGGATAACGAGTTACAACATTTAATTTCCCTTTGGAAATAATAAAGTATTTTTTAATTGAATTTGAATTTAACTGAATACATTTGAAAAGTACTGGACCCAGTATTTTAAGAAAAGGTCTTATTTGCCATAAAGTCCTTTTTCTACAAAATGGAACATTTGAAATGTTCATTTGGGAATGAAAGATGGGTTTATGAGATACGCCAATCACTGCTTTCAAGTTTTATTGTCATTTTACAAAACATCCCATCTTTTAGGCTCAGTGAGTTCATGAAATCAGACCTACAGGAATCCATTATAGCTCTTTGCTTTTTGTCAGGATGTCCCTGCAGACTCCACGACTTGGAGGCCGCCGTTGTCAGGAACTGGCTTTTATCTTCTGCTGATCGCTGTCGAAACAAAGACAGGTGCTTGTTGTGTGTGTGGTTGGACTAAAATCAGTCCATTCCCGCTGGTCAGACCCCCTCCCTCGCTGCCGATCTCTAACTTGGTTAGCTACCTCTAATTTGGCCCCGGAGGGCCTTAATTTGGTTCCCTGTGGGGGGTTCTAAGAAAGGTCTGGCTTCCTCTTCCACACACAGTCCCATCACTCCCCCCCCCCCGCCCAATAATCCTAATGCGTTTTTACACAATGACAAAATAATGCAGGTAAACAGGTTGCATTGGAGACACACATGTCCTACTTGTACCAGATGGGAAATTGTCGACAGCGATGGCAGACCAACGACGCAGATGCTCGGTGGCAGCAATACACACACAGGAGGAAGCAAACGCGTGTCCCTCGTCACGTTTTGCTGACAGCACAAAGTCATGGAAACGGCTCGGTTGGGCCCGAGCTGCGCAGCACCATACGGATTACAGTTATGGAGGCTCATTAAAAACATGTAGTGGGAGACGGATTAGTTAGAGCCTGCTGTTGTGGGCGAGCGGCGTCCAACATCAGTGGACTTCCCTGCATTTTGTCGGCGCTTGTGTGGCGGTGCATACATTTGTGTTGAGCAACAGGAAAATGTTGCTTTCTATCTAGAAACCATCAATATCAGAGTTAAAAAACTAAACTCAACAAAGGAATACAACGTTTTTTCCATCAATTTTCATACATACTAGAACCGGCGCTTCAAAAATGGTGGCATTTGATTTCGGAGGTGAGAATTCTGTCGTATTAGTTCATAATTCATGTTCAGTTATTATCAAAGTTCATGAATCAACACTATCTGTGCTGAAGTGATGAATTACAGGGTGTTGTTCATGAGTGAGGGAAGAATGGAGCGTGGAGTCAACAGATGGATCCGTGTAGCTTCTGCAGTATTGTGTACACTGTGCTGGTACTTTGTGGTGAAGAGGGAGATGAACTGCAATAAACACTCTCTTTACCAGTTGTTCAAGTCAAGTCATATTTATTTATAGAGCACAATTTAAAACAGATAGACTGTTATCAAAGTGCTTAACACTAAGGGTAACACTAAGAAATAAAAAGCAGTAAGAATATACCTTAAAAAATTAAAACAACAGCATTAAAATTAAGACATGGAACAAGATATACTAAATCAACTCACACAGTATGAAACGCCAGAGAGAACAGATATGTTTTTAGCAGGGATTTGAACACAGGAAGGGAGGTGGCATGCCTAATGTTAGGCATGCCACCTCCCTTCCTGTAGGTTCATGTAGGTTGTTCCACAGTTTGGGACCCATGACTGAAAACGCCCTATCTCCTCGGAGCTTCAGTCGTGTTTTTGGAACAACCAAAAGCAGCTGATCGGATGATCTCAGAGCCCGAGAGGGAACATATGGTTCCAGTAGCTCAGAGAGGTAGATGGGTGCGAGGCCATTTAGGCACTTATAGGTCAGGAGGAGAATTTTGAAATCAATCCTAGTTCTCACAGGAAGCCAGTGTAGGGAGGACAGAACTGGTGTGATGTGCTCATACCTCGGTGTACCGGTTAAAAGCCGAGCTGCAGCATTCTGGACAAGCTGTAGCCGTGAGATAGAGGCCTGGCTGACCCCAGCATACAGTGAATTACAATAGTCCAGGCGGGTTGTGATGAATGCATGGACTAGTGTCTCAAGGTCGGGTCTAGACAGCACTGGCTTGAGCTTAGCTACCTGCCGCAGTTGGAAGAAGCTTCTCTGCAGAACCGAACTGATCTGTTTGTCGAACTTAAAATCCGAGTCAAAAACCACTCAAGGTTTTTTACAGAGTGCTTCAGATAAGGCTGAAGGGAGTCCAGGTTCACAGGATAAGAGGCGGCAGCTGAGCTAGGGCTAAAGACAATGACTTCAGTCTTCTGGTCGTTAAAACTTAGAAAATTTGAAGCCATCCATGTCTTAATGTTGTCCAGACATTTGAGGAGAGGGTGGACGGAACAAGC